GAGGTATTCAGAAATTAAAAAAATTAAAAAAGCCAATTTTTGATTTAAAGTTAACGTTAAAAAATTCGAAATAAAACTTCAATTAAACTTGCTGAGAAGCAATGTCACTGTTGTACATTAAATTGTCTTCAAACTCAAACTCTCTCCCACTTGTAAGCAACTTTTTCATGTTTTATTTGGACTTAATTTCCAACACTTTAACTTTATTTCGATAGTGCATCATAAAAAAAAAACCTCCTCTACTCATAATTTTGATTCATCCGTGAACCTGAAACTCATCTGTTGAATTACAGATCACATTTCAGTGGTATGTGTCTGTATTTTACAAATCCCATTTTAGAAGTTCGACCATCTTGACCTCAGTCTCTGATTCAACTTTGCCTCCTCAGTTTAACCTCTTTGAACACCGTTTTTAAAAAGTATCACCATTGATTTGTTAGCTTAACCCTAAGGAGGAAAAAGCAGTTTTATATCAAGTCTCTGAGGTTTGACTCACAATTTCAAACAAGAACCAAGGAAAATATGCACTATACACTTAAAATGATCTCTATTAAGGCTTTGGGCACGCCTCGCTGGAGACGTGCCGCAAGCGCGGCGTAAGTCAAGGCGTTCCCAAGCACAATTTGGTATTTTGGTGAGCGGCGCAGCCTGGCGTAAGTATCCCCCTCCACTAACTCAGCTCCTCCCAGCGGCGTGAATCATAGCGAGGGAGGAGAGAGGGTGTGGAGTGGGTTTAACACAGCCGAGACCTGTATTGACCAATAACATCAGCTCCTCTCCTTGCCTTTAAATCCACCACAGGTGAGGCGTATTACAATTTTCGTGAAGTAGTCAAAGAGATCAGGAGATGTCTGAAGACAGTAATGCCACAAGATGGCGACAGAAGGCAGCCCCTCAACAAGTGTCGCTATAAACACTGCAGAGGGCGTCCTGCACACTCTCTCATATGAGCACAAATGGATTTGGTATTTGTAATGTTGGACCCACTAGTAAGACAATCACCCTTTTCCACAAATAAAGACACTCACATAAAGTTGCATATATTTAAACCTCACGTGACAAAGGTGGGTTGTGCGCACAGATCACATCATAAATTCCAAAAATGGCATTAAAATCGAAACTATCTGTGCGTAATGACGCATCGCGCTCCATGGCCTGGCTCTCTTTCATAGATGTTGGCATATAAAATAAATTTGGCTCACAAAACTGAATATTATAATATTTGTATGAAGGCTTAAAGTAAATAACTCATCTGATTACTGAAACAAATCATCTGTTCAGACGAGGAGAGGACATGGAGACATGTCCAGGTCGAGCTGCGCAAGAAATAAGAGGAAGAGGAAGAAAGCCTTCTGCTTTTATTATTGCCTGATATAATCTGTGTTTTATGCTCACCTTTTCATGTGCCCTCATACTGTAAGAGAGAATAAATGGATGCATAGAGAAAAGGTTGTGCAGCAGTAGAGGGAAAGAAGAGTGTAGATGGAGGGACGGTCCGCAGGCTTAATGCACCCTGTATGCTTTGGGACATTACTGATGCAAGCGGGTCACCCCAAATCACTCCCCTTGGGACCAGAAGAGCATTGCACTGCTCGTAGACCCCATGGCTCATTGAAAGGGGTCAGAGGCGAGGCGCTCTGCTCCATTTAGCAGCCCGCTCATGATGGATGAGTGGAGTTGAGGGGGGGTGCAGAGGAGCAATGCCCCACTGAGTGGGGGGGGTACAGAGTGTGCCACGCGGGACCTCCTCTCTGAGCCGTGAACGGTGGTAATGGGCAGTAATGGGTGGTAATGGGAACAGACACAGGTGAGGTCAAAGGTGAGTGCCATGTTTCAGGTCAGCATTCCCACACGCTCTGGGCTCAGGGTTATAAAGCTGCTGAAGGGTTTGTGTCAAGGAGAAGAACAGAACCAGGAGAGGGGTTTTAGATCCAGAATCAGTTTTAAAAATAAAAAGGCTCCATGAGGGTTATTTTCTTCTAAAAACTTCTTCTCAGCGCATTAAAATCAGTTTGTTAAATTTTTAAAAAAATTGTATGGCATGGCAATGTGATGTCAGTCATTTCTGATTAGGAGACTGTTGCTATGAAGACCAGACTGTTGCAATGGATGCTACAATGGCCCTGAAGGTCAAGGCATGAAAATTTTTAGGATGGCAATAAAAAGATATTTCATAAAATCAGACATTTAACAAAACACAAAAATATTTACATTAAGATGAGATTTATTTTGAAAAATTCTATAAACAATTTTACAAATGTGTCAATATAGTAGTTACCCAAAGAAAATTTGACACTTTCCAAATTCTGAAAACAAAATTTTAGAAACACCATAATGTTTTGTAAAACATTTTATGAAAACAACATTTTTTGGAAACCCAATTAAAGACCAAAAAAATTGAAATTATTTTTAAAATGCTTATCAGTTTTGAAATAAAAGCGTATGTTGGAAACATAAATACATTTTAATACATATAGGTGTAAATATCTTTTAAGCTTTTGAATGTTCTCAAAAACTCAATTTCTTTTTAAAAAAAGAATATATTTAAAAAAAATGTATTTGCATCCCACAAGGTATTTGTCTGTCCAAAATATTTTGTAATTTTAAAATTTATATGCAGCACAAAAATTTTAGATTTTTGTAAAAAGGAATTTCACCTCTAAAATATTTAGGTATACAAAATTTGTTTGGGTTTTATTGTTTTTTTGTTGTGTGTGTGTGTGTTTTCTAAAATGTATCATGTTTTATATCAAAAAATGCTTGAAATAAACTTTTTTAGTTGTTGCTGTCTCATGAAAGTTTATTTATTTCCTTCTTGAAATTTTTGTGCCATTGACCTTCAAGCCCATAGTAGATACAGCTCGACTCATAAACATTGGTGGGCAGTAGTCATATCAGTGTGCAGAAAGAAATCTGCTTTATTTAACAGCATGTTTTCTTCAAGACTGAACAAATTTCATGACGTTAACACCTAAGAAAGAAATGTGACAGACTCTGACAGAGATTCACTCAGGTGCTGCTGTGATTCATGCAGGACTCTTCACCAGCAGTAGAAATTTTCATTTTAATGGGAGGAAAAACAGCAAAGTCAGCTAATTTTAGAGGCCTGCAGAGTTTATTATAACAGCTTAATATGCGAGTGTTTTTTTAAAGCTACGAAATCATTTTGAAATCGGTAATTAGTATAAATTTTTTGTATATACTGTATAGCCTTACAACGAGCGGGATACGGGAGGTGAACAGGTTGTTCCGGAAAATCTTTCCTTGCTGTCCTAAATACATGATTCTGATCAAGATACTTCTTTATTAGTCCCACAAGGGGGAATTCCAGTTTTGATTGCTTAATATTCCTTGACAATGGACAAGTTCAATAACAGGAGTTTAAGGGGCAGCCTGATCACATGCATGATATGGGACAATCTGCAGAGAGGAGACAGGTGCATTCACAAGGTTTATGGTTTCACCTTGTCCTGTTTACCATGTGGCAAAAACATTAGTTTTAAATATAAGCAGTATATTTATTTTGAAGTACACAGACATGAAGCAATCAAAACCACTAACAGTTTGGACTTGGTGGGCTGATAAGAATGTTTTTTTAATACTCTCTGTCTTAACCTTGTCTCATCCAGTCCAGATTTTAGTTTGCAAAACAACCTGCTCACTCTACATTACACAATCTCTCACGTGGAACTTCAGCCAGTTTGTTGAGGGGAGCAGACTTTTGACTTACAATCTGCAACCTCCAAGTGAACAACGCCAGACCATCACCTACAAAGGTCAGTTGGACAGAAGTGATTACAGCTCTGGGGGTATTTACAGCCACAATAAACACAGACAATAAAGGCATGACAGGTTCAGGTGAGGACAAGAGACACCTGATGCATGAGAGCTGCATTAGAGAGGTCAGACTGCAGTCAGCTCTGATCCTCAGAAGACTGAGCAGGTTTCAGCGGATCAGGCCCAAAGGAGCAAAATCAGGTACTGGACAGACCATAGGCTCTATTTTCGTGCCGCAGGCGTGGCGTAAGTCAGGTCCGCCGCGCTGACAAGGCGTTCCCAAGCGCAATTTGGTATTTTGGTGAGCGGTGCAGCCCGGCGTAAGTATCCCCTCTCCCTAACTCAGCTCCTCCCAGCGGCGTAAGTTGTAGCGGGGGAGGAGCTAGGGCGTGGAATGGGTTTAACACAGCTGAGACCTGTTTTTACCAATCACATCAGCTCCTCTCCTTGCCTTTAAATCCGCCACAGGCGAGGCGTATTACCATTTTCCTGAAGTAGTCAAAGAGATCAAGAGATGTCTGAAGACAGTAATGCCACAAGATGGTGACAGAAGGCAGCTCCTCAACAAGTGTCACTGAAAGCGCTGCATTGGGCGTCCTCCACACTCTCTCATATGAGCACAGATGGATTTGGTGTGTGTAATGTTGGACCCCCTGGCAAGACGAACACCCTTTTCCACAAATAAAGACACTCACATAAAGTTGCATATATTTAAACCTCACGTGACAAAGGTGGGTTGAGCGCACAGATCACAACATTAACTCCAATAATGGCATTAAAATCGAAACTATCTGTGCGTAAAGGACGCATCGCGCTCCGTGGCCTGGCTCTTTCTTTCATAGATGTTGGCATATAAAATAAATTTGCCTCACAAATCTGAATATTATAATATCCGTATGTCGGCTTAAAGTAGATAACTCATCTGATCACTGAAACAATTCATCTGTTCAGCCGCCGCAGCAGCAGGACGGAGAGAGGACACGGAGACGTGTCCAGGTCGAGCTGTGCGAGAAATAAGAGGAAGAGGAAGAAAGAAAAGGAGGGAGACGAATTACATATCTATTTAACTTCATAATGTGTGTCTGTTTACTAGATATTTAATTCAATTTAATGCGGTTTCAGTTGTGTTGATTCGGTCAGGTTGTGTGTCCAAACGCATGCCAAACGCGCTCATCAGATCAGATGTAGATCAGAATATATCGATATAGATCTAAATGTATGTGCTGACTCAGATTATTAGTTGATGATGATTATTTATTGCACTGAAATGTGCCTGACACTGTGGAAACCTGCAGGTGAGGCATCAGTGACGTATGCCGATATGCCGCCGGTCTACCAAAATACTACTAGACCAGCTGCGTTTTGCCTGCGCTGAAAGCTGACCAGGTTTGAATCGGCAAGCTTTCAGCGCCTCACAGGCGTACACAAAAATAGAGCCCCATGTGTTTATGTATTTTAGAGATGTCGTCTGGCACGAGCTACTCGCCCTTTTTTCGCAGTACTTGAACTGTTCTTGAACTGTTAATTGACTTTAGTACATGGTGGGTCCATTATTTAGTGGCTTTGTGCATTGGTTTTCATGCAACAGCTGTTTTTTTGTGTCATTTCTGTGTGGTTTGTGATTGGTCAGCTGAAACTTTGTCACTTCTGATGCCATGACTCTCTCTCTCACCTGCGTGCGCAGTTTATTGGTTTTTCAAAAATAGCTTAATGTGGTAAATGGCATGTTTGGGACATGGTATTGTCTTGTGTGAATAGTTTCATGCAGAAATCTCCAATTTGAGGCCCTCATCGAGGGTTAGTGTTTACCTACAGAATGTACCAGCTTTTAAAGGTGGGGTAGGCAGGATTCTGTTAAAGAAGCATCTTTTTTTGTGGTGTGTATACAAAAAAGCTTTTAATATCAGTCAATAGCTATTAGTTATTGATGACATTTGGGAATGTAATGATATCGCTGTGTTCTCTTATGTCTATGTAATCAACAATTTAAAAATTTTCATACTCTTTCTGACAGTAAACAAAGCCATTCTCTACCTCCCTGACCTGATTGGTTGTGAGGCAGACGCTGCTTCTCATGTTGTGAGGCACACTCCACAAATAATGTTCATGAGCCAAAACAAAGTTAGTGTGCTACAATATTGGACAGTAGAAACCAACCAGAAAGTACAGAAAATTGTCTGAATCCTCCTTTGGCCACGACTGCCAACACATGCAAGTAAACAAAGTGACTACTGGAGACTCTGGCAGAATAAAAAAAAAAAGGAGGTAGCCCACCCAGACAATAGCTAAGAAGCCGGGTCAACATCAGCATAAACGATGGGGGAGGCTCATCGGGATCTTACGGACCCTGTAACCTTTATGCTGGACAGGTAAACCGCTTTAACAAAGTAACCCAAGGGTCTGTAACAGAAGTCTTTCTTGTCCAACAGGACCTGCTGCATATTGTTCAACTGCTTACCTCGGGTCCTGGAGTATGTCACTTTATCCTAGTTGCAGAAGTCCTGCAAACATTGTGTTTGCTGGTAGTCTGTTGGCATCTACAATCACACCAATGCTTTTTACTTTCACCTAGACTGGGCCCCATTTGTAATTATCTGAAGTATTTATCTGCATTATATCTGAATTTAATTAGAACGATATGAGTGAGCAGGAGTTTCTGTTTGTGGGCGGGGCTTGCTGGAGCAGAGAGGAGGAGCTGAGGGGAAAACTGGTTGGGAGGGGTGGTGTTTACATTCAAGATTTCTAACAAAAACTTGCACTTCCTCAGATCCTGCCTACCCCACCTTTAAGGCTTAAGAAAACTGAAGATGCAGACGCTGTCAGGCCTACCAAGTAACTTATTGATAGGAGTATATAGACGCAAAAAAAGTAAAATCTTAAATACAAAGAAGTTTGTCAATTTACTAAGTCAATTTAAAATCCCATTTTGGCAGCCTGTTTGAATGATAAAAGCAGTAAAAGTAGATCTGCTCTGTTTAACCTCTAAATTAAGTTCCAATGTTGCAGAAACACAAAATAACTCGATGGCACACAGCTAAGAGGAGGAAGTTTGGCTCTCAGCCCAGATTTGGGGTATATCCAATTTGTTGTTTACCATCCAGGTCCTCAGGCCTCGCTCATATTTCTAAGAATGTATACTTAATGTTTTCTGTGCAGTGAAGAAGTGCAGTTTCAGTAATCTGATAAGTGGGAGCCATCTCGAAGCTGAAGAGACAATATGGCTGACTGGGTCACAGTCCTGTCGTCTGTGTGTCGTTCTCATCACGGCTAGCTGATAGTATTGCTAATTTTTTGAGCCACTGGTGAAGGTGACTCATCTACCACTTTAAAGTCCATCAGACTTGAAAATAGGACTTCAGTTTATGATGAGAAATGTAAATTCAGCATGAACAAAGTAGCATGTGCTACCATAACTAATGTAGATGCTACAGCACCACGAAACCTGGATTCCCTGGCTTTTTATGGGCGACTGGAGGACGAGGAGTGTGTGCATCTTGGCCTGTAAGAGAGTTTAAGTGTGTGCGTGTGTTTGTGTGGGAAAAGTGAGGGATGGCGAGAGTGAAGGAGAAGGAGGGAGGCTGTGTGGGAGGAGGCAGCTCTGCTATCTCCTCAGAGAGGTTGGGAGGGCGAAGGGTCATTATTGACTGAATGAATTTTTAAAGAGGGCCCTCATTGGAGGTGGGAGGGGCAGTGTGAGCATCTGTGTGTGTAAAGGTGTGTTTGTAAAGTCACACTGGATATTATCCTACAACACAGCTCCTCTCTCTTCTTCGTCTTCTTGTCCTTTTTATTTTGTGCTATTGTACAAAAACACTGTTACACATCTCCTCAAACCCTGATGCCTGATTAGGACTCTCCAGTTTCTCCTTATAGACTCCATACTTCCTGATCATTTACACTCTTATGTAATCTTTCTTATATAATCTTTCAGAGGGTTATTGCCCAATCCATAACACACCATAGGAGCCATGTGAGCCAATCATTATCAGAACCTGCTCCGTGTATCAAAAACCAAAAAAGAGAGCTTTTTGTTTCATGTAGTTTAGTCCACTTTTGGGTGTTTTATTTGAAAGCTCTCAACAAAAACCTGGTCTAAACCAAACTCTATTCTCAAAGACCCAATGTAAAGATGGGATCAGACTGAGCCCAATCCTGTAAGATCAGATCCATTCCCATCCCATCTTTAATCACAAGAATGTAACACTTAACAGCAGTTAAAGAGTTACAGTGGAGAGAAAGAACTTTGAACAGGCAGAAACCTCGAGCAGAACCAGACTGATGTTAGACAGTCATCTGCTGAGACTGAGCTAGGTTTAGAGAGAGAGAGGAAGATGGAGAAATAGAGAGAGATGGACAGAGGAGACACTGGTGCATATAGTTGAAGCAGCTGGTAGGCAGGCAGATCTATTCTCTGCAGCAGTGATTCAGAGAAATCTATGCCATGACGGAGCTCAGGGACTCCCAGAAAGACTGTGTATTAGTGACTGTAATGGGACCTGATGGTTTGGAGTTAAAGGGATATTACAGTGTAAAATTAAGTTAGGGTCAAACACACTGTAACACTGAGTTAGACACCCCATTGAGAGATGAATGTTACTGACTGCTTGCTTCTTTAGTTATACAAACTTTAGTAACGGCCGGAGGATAGCAATAATACAATAATACTACAGACAGAAAGAGGATAAAGAAGAAGGGGCAGGTGCTTAATGTGCCAGTACTCCTGACAGTCTTGTGTACATGCATCAGTCAAACATTGAGTCAGATTCAATATATAAAACCATATATTGTTGTTTAATCAAGGTGCTGTTCACCTTGTCTGACACCTGTTGTGGCTTTAAGTCACAGTATAGGGGTTGCAGTTCAAGCTGTGAGTGTTAAGACATTAATCACGATATAATTTGGGTCAAAAACTAATGCATTGATTGTTTTCTTTGTTTGTGTGCTGGTTTATTTCCCTTTCAGCACACCCAGGCTGCATCACCCTGCTCGTCCTGCGGCTGCCATGAGGAAAAAAAACACCCCTGCACTTTTTAATGACACATTTCACAGTAAAAACTCCCAGACTTTTTAGTTCATAAGTCAAAAGTAATGTGGACTTGGTGTGAAGTGGAGCAAAACGAGGGCTGCAGAATGCTGAAAGTTAATTCCTCTTTGCAATATGAAAAAAAGGCATGTAATTAAACATTTAGAAGTTTCAGTAATAAAGTGAAAGTATTCATAATTTATATTTTTGAGTCTATTATCTCCTTTCACATCAAATCCACCTCTTACATGTCTTAAACTGACTGTCATCAAATGTCCTTTGATGTGTCTTTTGTACATAAGGCAATGTTATGTCCAAACAATAAATCATTCAGAGTTTGAATATGAGCAGCCTCCTTGAAGCTAACCACACAGGTTAGCTGTCAGCAGGTAATCAGTCTGATATCAGCAGAAATCCACATCATAAAAGCTGCCAGAGCTCTAATTTGGAGCATGTGAATCACCAGACCTGTGGGGTGGACCTGCATCAAAAAATTACAACAGTGCTTAAAGGCTTGTCAGAAATGAGGAAGACTTGGGTGGAAGGGACATCCTCAGGTTAGCATGCTGTTATATGCCTCAATGTTCCAAGGAACAATAGTATCATGCATGCAAGCCCTGAAACAGAGAAATCAAGCCAACTGGAACTCCTGAAAAGTGCAAATGCGGTCACATCGAAGAGGAATCACTCAGTACGTTTGCACACTGAAGTATGTAGCGAATCTCCCTTTCAGCTTGTCTCACGATTGACATCAACAGCCAGCAAAACAAGTTAGCAAGAAGCTAACAGGATGTCACTTTTACAACTCTTTGTCACTTGTTATACAAATTGTCTTTTTTATTTCACTTATTCGTCTTTTGAGAGTTGTTTTCTATTTGGTTTCCTAGCAACGCATCCATGCTGTCCATCCACTGATGCATGAACACTGGAGCATGCGCAGAACGCTTTCAGAGCCAGTTTCAGTTTGATTGACAGAGAAAATCGATCCCCAACCACATTATCCAGGTTTCCAACTACGAGAAGTTCAACTTAAGTCAGACTAATGTGTTCACAAGGGAATAAAACAACATGCTCAGAAATGTTAGTCAGATACGCAAGGCATCTATTTTGCCGGACGCTGCAGCACGGCACATCGATTCAGTCCAGCGCAGCATGAGCAGCAGCAGAAGTTGTATGCGGCTACAGAGCAAAATATCCGGTTAATTTTGAAAATTAACCGGATATAGGGTTGTGGGATGTGGGTGTTCATATACACCACCACTTATATACACCAATTGGTGGATCTCATTCAGTGTCTCACGGGGAAACACTCAAGATCTCGTGAGATCTCGTCCAGTCTCACGAGAAATATCGGTAATCTTGCAAGTGCTTCTCTTCTGATGACGGAGGCGGATTGGACCACTGTATGCTTGCATATTTGATCTGCCTGCCGGTCCGGAGCAAAGCCATTCCGAATCCAGTTGAATCCCCGGGTAAGAGGTCTAATTGTCTGGTACCACGACAAATCCTTGGTGTTTCATGGGGACAGACTAAAATGGTGTGAAGGAGACTCTTCTTCTCTTGAGTTGATTTGTGTCTTTGCACTCTTGTACGGGCACAATAACAGTAGCAAATAAAGTGAATCATTTGCACAAATTAAGCAAGTAAATGCAAAGTATTCAGACGTTCAAATGAACCAAATAATTTATTTGCATCCAACAAATGCAACATGCTAGTCAAGACTATAAAGTAGATTGTATGACAAGATTTTGTTTCTGTTGTTTAGATGGATTTAGAAACTGTTCTTAAAAGGGCAATATGATCAGAAATTAAAAAAAATTACGATTAATGATTCTGCGGTGGCTAAACTTTAAAAATGAAGCATTGGAGAGTCCCAGTTTTAGAGCTAAACATGTCCTTTTTCATTGATTAAGAGGAAAATGCCAATCAAAGGTGGAGTTTTCAGTGAGGTGCGCCAAGGCCCCTCCACCTGTGGTCTACAGGGTTAACAATCAATGGCTGACCTGGTATTAGGAGGAAAGCCTCTGGGAAGAAGGAGGGATAGTTTGAGCAGAGCAACGGAGGAGGAGGAGAAACAACACGAGGAAGTCCATGATTTTTTTCCTCAGGAGGTGGAAGGAGGTCTGAGAAGAGCTGGTTTGAAGGGGGGGTTACTTCAGGCCACAACCTCCAGCTTTGCGGATGCTGGCAGTGAGGCTGGCCTCACTGTGAGGAGTACCCGCAGGCGGTGCATGTGCTGCGGGAAGAGAGATAGGCAGGGAAGGGGGTGGGGGTGGGGTTGGAGGATGCTGTGTTGGTGGTGGGTTTGGAAATGCTCTGTGTGTTCACTGACCCTGGCAGATAGCAGATGAAAGAGGGAGGGGGGTATTCAATCATAGTAATCCACCCGCAACACACACACACACACACACACACACACACACACACACACACACACACACACACACACACACACACACACACACACACACACACACACACACTCCTGAGAGCAGCCACACTCATTAGTGCCACTGAGACTGAAACACCAGCACAAAGCAGCCTCTCTCTCTCCCTCTCCCTTGCTTGCCCTCTGCACTCTTTCCTCTCTGTCTTCCCTCCGTTCATCTCAGCCAATTTGGCCCTCTGTTGTTTCCTCAGCCCCTCTTTTTTTGTGTGTGTTTGCTCCATTTAACATCCACTTCATCATCCTACCCCTGGTTCCATCAGTTCGCTCTTATCTTTCTTTAATTTCTTTCTTTCTCTCTTATCTGTGCATCCATCCATTCGATTCCACCTTTCCTTGTTCCGTCTCCTCTCTCCTCCCTCATTTGATTCCCAGCACTCTCCTCCCCCCCGTCCTTGCTTGTCTCTGCTCCCGTGGCGAGGGGGTGATTTGGGGGATTAGGCCGGTGGCAGGGTTGTTGCTGTGTCAGTCTAACAGGCGGGGATCTGGACCAGAGCTCAGTCCAAATCCTTTCCTCCACGCCTGCCTGCCTGGCCACCGAATTAGCAGCTTTCCCTTCCCCTCCATCTCTCTCTTCTCTTTCGATGCCTGTCGCTCTCCTCTCCTTCTCTCTATCACACCTTTAACATTCCGCTGCTTTTGTGAGTGTTTTCTTGTATACTTATTAAAAAGGTCCCAAAGGCTCTCTTATTGAGTGTATTACATCTTGATATCTCCACCGAGAAATATGATCACATCACCCTGCCATGTTAGGTTCTTTAAACCAGCTGTGTCTGCGATTTTTAAGATTTAAAAGCAAATGCCTCATGCCTCACTTAACTTTTGGCCTTTTAAACCTCAGACAACCCCAACCTGAAACCCTTTGAAAAGATATTGTGAGAGTCGAGCTTTAAAACCAAACAGTCTCATCGTCTTTGCAGTAAGACAAAAGAAACCTTTGTGAGTTCAGTTGAAGTTCCTCTCCTCAAAATACCCCTCAGATAAAGGAAAATATCTGGTGATAGCCCTCTTTGTGCACTGAGAAAAAAACCTACTTTCCAAAATCCTTAGCTGGCTTAAAATGTCACTCTTCCTCATAACCCAATCCTTCTTAAAATATCAGGGGGGCAAATGCTCTTTTTTAATTGCAGCCCTCGGCAAGTATACAGTCAATCCTTTTGGATAAGTGAGCTCTTCCTTTAGCGGCCTCAGGGGAGCTAAAGGAAGCAGGTTAGGTCTGCATTACTGACGATTTTCAACAAGGGAGAGGTCACAGAAAGAAGGACGATATCTGTTGAGCCATTTCTTTGATAAAAAGGAGGGAAAGAGTGACTGCTGTTGCTGAGTGGAGGAAAATAATGCTGGTTTACAAACACAGTTTGATACACTTCCATTCTTAAAGGGAGCCTATAATACTATTATATAAACATAAAGTCACATTGTTGGATATGTGTAGTGAACCATAGCATAGCTACACAACATTATAGGTACAAGGATAGAAGCATAATTCCTCCATCTCTGTGACATCCTTTAAAGACAATACCAAACAATGCCAGCTCAAGCTTGAGTTGCACCTCAATTATTATTGAAACCCGCAAATGTTCCATCTATAAAGACCTACCTAAAGGCCCAGAACCACAAGCTCTAAATAACAAAGAGGGCACTAGTGGCTCACCTCAGACATTTTCTATAAAGGCATAACTTCCAGGCCACTTCGTGACTGCAAAGCTGTGAAAAAAGTAACACCCCAAGCTTTATCTCACTTCACTGTAAAAACAGCCAAAATAAAGGGTTTCAGGCTGAGGCTTGATGGCTTGAGGCTAGTGGAGGTTTAGTGGTTGGTGTGGATTTTTGAAAGAACGTTTTCTTGGTATTGCTTTTTTCAGTCTTTTGTTTATAAAGTTATAATATTATCTACAATTTTAGCACTTTCTTTTTTAATAACCATGATAGATCTCATATAACTTTGATATCTGTGCTGAATTGAAATACATAATTTGAAAATGGTTCTTCTGTATTCCAGTATTTACATTGTCTGTATTCCAGACAGAATGTAATAATGCTTAGCATCTGAGGGGTAGGTAACAAAGCTTTTCTGGTTGAACTCCTGACTATTTCAGAAGTGGGTAAAACAGTGTTTAGATTCAGCGAGGCATGATGCAGACTGCAGCTGTTTGTGAGCCGCTGGTTTCCTCCTTTCAGGTAACCATCCCTTTAAAATCTGTGATGTTTGCTGCTGTATAATAATGGGGGTGTATTTTACTAGTACAGTCCAGCAGTGGAGAATGTTTCACACTCATCTCATGCTGCTCTGTGTCTGTCTCTATCCCTCTGTACCTGCCTCACCAGCCGGGCCCAGGGGAGGAGGGCAGGTTACACTCATGCTGTCTGAAGGACGCTGGGACACTGTGGAGGTGTGTGTGTGTGTGTGTGTGTGTGTGTGTGTGTGTGTGTGTGTGTGTGTGTGAGAGAGAGAGAGAGAGAGAGAGAGGGAAAGAGTGAGACAAACTTTGAGAAAGAAAAGAAAATAGAAGAATTAAATGTAAGAGGCCAAACTATTCAAACAAATTCTGCAGTTCAGAATTACATTTTTCTTTTTCTCTTTGTGTTGTTTCTAAATAAAATTTTCTGTTAACTATCCCCAGTGTTCCTGCTCTTGCCACTTATTTGGTTACTTTGGTCATTTCTGCAAGATAGATAGTCTGATATTTCTGTTTTATTTTGTAATCCTTGATTGTCCAAAAAGTAAAAAAAAAAAAAAAAAAAAAAAACTAAACCAAAAAAACAAACAAGCAAACAACAAAAAAAAAAACACCCATATCTTTTCCTATCCTCTTTTCTTTTACACTCAGTGTAAATGTCATATGTCTCTGATCCTTTATACTGAATTATTGAAAATTGCTGTTAAATCAGTGATTTGGCTTCAGATCAGCTTTTTATATGCTGGTCGTTTCTTGACAAGCTTATGGAAGAGGGCGTAACTTTAAATACAGTTGGAGCAGAGGGTTATGGGTCAATTCCCTCTCTTCCCTAAAGGATGGTCCAGGAGCAATGAAGGAAAGCTCTTTTCCTTATCATTTAAAGACTTTGCAAACCCACTTTGTGTTTTTTTTTTCTCGTTTTTTTCTTGATTTAGATTTTTTTGTTTGACTTTGTCAAGTAAGTTTATTGTTCACCATTTTGAACTTTTGTTTCTTAAAATCTTTCATTTCTTGAATCTGCATTTGGGTCCTTTGCTGTATGATTCCAGTACATGACGCAATTATTTTCAGACTAAAGTATTCTATTTAGAAACAGTTTGCAGGCACTGCAGGCAGGCAAATGACTGTGTTTAAATCCCTCATTGTGTTATCTAAGGACTTTGTGAATGTTACCTTGTTGTCTTTTTGCTGTGCATAGGTGTGCTTGGGAGAGGATGGAGAGAAATTCTAACCTGCAGACAAATCTACTTCACTCTGAGTCAGCAACACTGATCTATACTGGCTTTCTGGATGCATCATGAATGACTTAACTGACCTCGCTTTAACAAACTGCAACTGTGACAGACGGATTTACTGCAGACCCAGTGAAGCTTGAGCTATTCCTTTTTACAAGTTTTCATGATGTTGTGTCTGATTGGCTCATTTAAAGAAAATCATAAGAATAGGCTCGTACTGCTAAATAAGCCAAAGTGCAGCTGTTGCGTAATCTACTCTTTACAGCGAAACTTTGACTCAAAAGAAACATAAACCGATCGATGTCTGGAAAACATAGAGATCCAGAATACAAGAGTGAAAGAGTCCCTCACCTGCATGCCTCCACACTAGTCCCACCAGGGTTTGATAAAGGGCAGAGGGAGTGTGAGGCTGGCATTTACTCACGCCACCACCTCCTGGGGTGGATATTCAGGACGAGTCTGAAATCAGAGTGAGAGAGAAAGTGGAAAATGAGTCAAACACTCAAAACATGATGTTGACTCTTCTTACACTACACATACTGGTGCATCAGCACACACACACACCACACACACACAGGGACACACAGGGATATAAATGGTCAAATCCATGCATCTACTGTACTGTAGATGCAGACAGGGTTTGCATAAATTACACACAAATACATGCATGCAGAGATGCCCGTAGGCGCTGATTTGCCTCCATACAAATCACACAGTTGCATACAAATATGTACATGATGGTGGAAAGCTGCTGCAAACACTCTCCTCTCCACATAGTCTTTTCACCTGCATGCCAACAGTTGTTTGATCAGGGCTTGCCAGTGTTAGAATCTGCTCGCCGTGCATTTGTGCTGCAGCGGAAAGCCCAAAGAAGAGCAGAGGAGCGTCTGAGAGCCCACAGGCAGGAAGAAAGAGAGTGCTGACAGCGACAGAAAAACACCCAGATGGTAGCTTCAGTCTACCAAGGGATCACATGCACAGAAGTAGATCTGGAAGTTGCTGGCGGTAACAAGAAATGATGTCACCATCCATGATAACAAGACGTGTGTGTTGGTATGATTTCTTTTTTAACACATGGACTGATCTTGTGTTAAACAGGATTTAATCTTTAACTCCAGCTATCTGGATCCTAAAGTGAGGCTGAAACTCTTAAAAACAGCCTAATCCAAACAGCAGCAAATTTTCTTTGCCAACGTGACATATCTGATGGAAAATGTTCCATTTTTCTGAAATATTGTACATATTTTGGCATTCAAGCAGCTCCTCCAGTAGCTTCTCTGCCTCCATGGTAAACCATATGGACCAGGGCTGTGTTTGTTGTATTCCTATAAGATAAAGTGACATTGCCATTTTGATCATTTGCTACTCCCCGGTTTGCATCTCCTCTTGATCTGTGAGCTGCTGTCATCACTTATCTCCACCCTCAGATCACAGTAATCTGTGGTGGTGGGTTCAAACTCTGACAGACATACAGCTCCTGCAGACGCACACAGCTGCAGACACACACTGCATGTCTCTTCACACTCACTCACACACACACACGCACACACACACACACACACACACACACACACACACACACACACACACACACACACACACACACACACACACACACACACACACTTATGGTATAGAAGCACATATCAAATGTTAGCAGTCAGACAGACACAGATGTTCACCTGTATTTTCAGGTACATCCAGAGCAGATGTGTGGGCTGATGATGTGCTCCTTGAAGGCAAAAACACACCTATAACGCTCTGCAAAAAATGTGATTCACACCATGCAGGATACACCCTCTCTGCTCAAACACACACACACACACACACACACACACACACACAGAAAGACATACATACCTAAATGAAAGCATGCATATTTAGATGCATGTATCTGGATGGGTGAACACCCGCTAACACTCTGAGACAATACGAGAACGCTGTGTTCGTGTCTGAACATACTGATGCACTTACAGTTCATTATACAGCAGGTTTTGTATGATACCAGAGCTATCGTTCCTGTCTGTTGATCTTTAAAGGGCCGTGCATCCAGCATACAAATCCTCCTTAACTGATGGAAGGAGCTGGAACAGAAAAACAAACAAACAGGCATGCTTTTAATTGCACCAGGAATAAGACTTTGCAGTACGAGATTAAATTGTTTTTTGAGCTGTCAGCCGTGTCTCTGATTCGTCGATCTTGTAACATAATATATTTGAAATGAGCACTAAAAAAATTCACAGTGGGTGCCATTGGGGCCCTGAGCTATTCAGACCAAAACCTTTTTTTACTGGGCTGCAAACATTTTTATCTTTACACTAAAAATGTGCTTTTTTTGGTTTATTGTGTAAGTGGTTTCTGCTGTCTGTGCAGAGCACCTCAAGTGGACATTCAAGGAACTACAGTTTTTAAGCACACCCAATCCCAAAAATAGATGATCAGAGAAAATAAACATATCTACTCAGACCACATGAAGACAGTTTGACCTTGAGTAAGGATCATTTCTCTATATTACCTCAGTTGATCATCAAGGACAACACAGCAGCATTGTATTGTAGGAGAGTCTAAATAATCCAATATAAACAAATTGCTGCATGAACTAACACTGCACTGCAGAACATCTTTGGAAAATGAATCCTTAAAATTTTCTAAACTTGATCTTACATGTTCCTCCCAACTTCAAGTCTTGGGAGGACGAAGATTCAATCAAAAGCAGAGGTCAGAGCCTCTTGTTTACAAAATGATGGTGACAGTTTTACATTTAGATCAATGTGGCCTGTAAATGGACAGATGTGAAGACACCTTTGTAGTTCTTGTCTCTAAATAAATCTTCCTCGTCAAACTGAGATGTTTTCTCTTATCCTGTTGTGTTCCGCCTCATCTGGTTTGCCATCTCCTCCTGCAAACTCAAAATTCCTGCTTTGCTCTCACATTAGCCAAACCTAATCAGACCGAGACGCGAAGGCAGAAGAACTACCATGTCTGCAGTGCACATACAAGATATACAAGAACTCTGAGTGCATTTCCATGCAGTAATAATCATAAATTTTCTTCCTTGAGCTGCAAAATTCAGCTGCACTCTGTGATTGACTTGTCGGAACTCCCCCACAAACAAGAGGCTGCAAGAAGAGAGTAGGTGAGTTGTGTTTAGTCTCTCTGCAAAATAAAGTAGGCAAAGTTAAAAAGATGTTTGATGGCTAGTGCTATGGCTGGGACCCTATATGTACTGTTGATGAAGTTAGGTGCTGTTCTGATCATTATTTACGGTTATAGAGTGGCGTTTTGGTTGAGGTGTGTGTGTGGAGAAGTAGACCACTGTGTATTGCTATGCTATGCTGTGCGGTTGTTACTAAAGTTAGGATAACTAGAGAATCAAGCAGTCAGCAACATTCATCTCTCAAGGGGGTGTCCAACTCAGTGTTACGGTGTGTTTGACCCTAACTTAATTTATGCAGGAATATCCCTTGAAGTCCTGGAAATTGACAAATTTTCAGCTCTTCCTAAAGCTGATTCAGTTATCACAGCCCTTTTAGAAGTTTGAAACATTGAAAATAGTTTTCCACTGTTGACATCCTTGTCAAGATTGGCAGGGAAATAAATAACTAAAAACAAGATGACACGGGGTTGCATGATGATGTGTTTGAGGTTCGGTCAGGAAAATGAATGTTTGGCAAAATAAATGAAAATCATCATGAGGTGATCAAATGTCACGTCAAGAAAAGAACATTTTCAATTTTGGTGAGGAATGACTTATTCATTTTTTAGGGGAGAAGTTTGTTTGTTTTACCAGCAGTATGAGTCGTTTTACACCGAGTTTCACCGAGTTTCTCATTTACCACAGAGGGATGGACTCAACCCACTACTCAGTTAGAGACATGTCTTTTTTTTTCTTAAATGTGGATGTACCAGAATATACTTGGTAGAAGTGGAGTATCGTGATTTGTCGGTCACAAACAAACTGGTTTAAAGAGCTGGCTCTTTAACAGGAATGAGGGGAGCCAGCTCCTGTCTGTGAGCCATTGTTTTTTGTATTTTTTTTCTCTATTTTTGTATTTGATTTACTCTGCTGTTGCGGTTTTTGTTCTTGATAGCGGTCAGTTCACATAGACATCTAAAACTGTTAGATGCTGCTGTTTTGTTCATTGCAATACAGCTATTTCTTTTTATTATGTTATTTATTTGATTATTTGTGTTTAAATAAATGTTGAACTTCTGTCCTTTTTATTTCTAAGCTTAAGTTTTTAAAGAGGTTTCTATTTGCTTTGTGTAGCAAAGTGATTCTACAAGCAAGTCAGCGCATTCATAGAGTGTTTTCAGAGAGTTACAAGGGTCTGTAAATGCAAAGAAAATAATTGGCTACAGCAATTTACTTATATTAGAATATGTCATTTTTACTTGTGAATACTTCAGTACAAAGGATGAATTATTTAAGAAGTATTGTATGTGTACACATACATACATATCATGAGCCAAACAACGTTAAATTTGTCTGAATTAGAAAATGTTTACGTAGTAAAATGAAGAGCTGCTTGGGAGCCAAAAGAGCCAGCTCTTCGTAGTGAGCTGAGCCAAATGATCTGGCTCACTAAAAAGAGACGTAATTCCCATCACTAACAGAGTATAATATTCCTAAGCATGTTTAAAACTGTTTTTAACCCCCTAAATATAGAAATAAAACTGTTTAAAAAAACTTAAATGAGTCTTTTTATTCACAAAGGTGCGGGTCCCTTTCATGGAGGCTGCCATCTTGCACCTACTGATCTATTGTAGCCTAGAGTGGACAAATTTGTAACATACAGTGCATCCGGAAAGTATTCATACCACTTCACTTTTTCTTCATTTTGTTATGTTACAGCCTTATTCCAAAATGGATTAAATTCCATTTTCCCTCAAAAATTCTACACAAAATACCCCATAATGACAAAGCGAAAAACTTTTTTTTAGAAATTTTGGAAATTTATTAAAAATAAGACACTCAAATGTTGGCCGTGTGAAGAATTTGTGTAGAATTTTTGAGGGAAAAAGTGAATTTAATCCATTTTGGAATAAGGCTGTAACACAACAAAATGTGGAAAAAGTGAAGTGGTATGAATACTTTCCAGATGCACTGTATGTGTTTTTTTTATTGGTTATGAAGATTAGCTGTATGACATGCATTAAAAAAAGGGGATGGCAGTGGGTTATGTTGAATGTAAAGTTGCGTATTGTATCAATGAATGTTTTTAAATGGTAAAATCTTTACAAATCAATCGTGTGCATCATTGCTCACTCTTGTCCCTGGAAGCCACTGTCACTTCTCTTACAGTATAAGTGAGCAAAGGAGCATTTAAAGCTAGAATCTATTTCCATTTTGGCACACTGTGCCTTTATTTAAATTTGGAAAGAAAACATGGAGTAAAAGCATTAAAACCCTGATTTTGATATCGTATGAAGTTTGTTGGTAAACATACTCAGTTATGTTTCTGGAATTGAAAGGTAAGAACATTTTACTTGGAAGCAGCAAACTAAAAAAGGTGGACAAATTGAAAAGAGAGAGAAAAAAAATGATATTTTCAAAGTTTCCTTTCAACATTGTTTGTTGCAATTGGTTGCTAATAACTCCTCATGTTTCAGACTTCAAAACAAAGAGCTTACTTTATAAACAATCTCAGATTTGCATCAGGCAGGAATCAAACAGCAGCATGTCTGGTCTCAGCTGAATGTTTGATTCCAGGAAGAACTTTGACCATTCTGTTTGATGCTCTGAGCTTCGAGTCCTGCAGGCTGCATGAGAGATCAAAAAGCTGTGGACCTCACAAGACACACAAGTTTGGTTTCTCTCTGTCTGAAAAGCTCTCTCTGTCCTTCCTAACTCTGCAGAAAGCAGGGTCTCTGTGCAGCCTCCACACATCAAACCAGCAGCTGAAGACAAGAGGACATGGCTGATGTTTAAAGTTTGATTGAACAATGAAGTATCCCTCAAATTTTGTTGTATTTATTGTGGTTTTTTTTTACCCCAGCACTAACTTCTTATGTTTCACTTTGAAATCCAGTGAATGGTGTTAACCCCTGATATAATAATTCAAGATACAAAGGAAACTGTAAGAACTTTACGGGCAATAAGCTGAAACCACCAAATGCTTTTTGACAAGACTTGCATCTAAAGACCTTTCTTGTATCTAACCTTTGGTCCTTCTCTTTGAGGACCAAGGTCTATGAGATACACTAAAAAAGATAGACAGTGGCCCTCATTTATCAAGCTTGCTTATGGCAGAAAACTTGCTTACACCTTGCGGACGAAAATTTTGACGTGAGGATCAGCATTTAACAATCTGCACATGAGCGTACTCTACGACCAAATCTCACGACAGGTCTGACATCGTGTACGCAAGTTTGAGTCAGTGTGGATCTGCGGTCCGGCAAATGTCTGTCTCAAAATAATTGATAAACAAACCTCAAACCTGTCATGAAGCACAATCAGCCAAATTTCATTAAAGATTAAGACGTAAATAAAATAAATGAATTGGTTATGTCCTTAGTGAATAGGCCTATTTGATAACTCTGCCCAGAAACACTGCCACAGAGCAGGAGCGCCATTTCAACATTACGCACACGCGCCACTGTGGAGTACTGTGTTTGACTCCTAAAAGGCAGGTGTCCCTGTCTTGGCCCAGCAGCAGGGACATTGTTGGACACTCCTGGAAGTGTGTGGGATATCATTTTGGTCAGTACAGTTTTACACAATGTTGCTCTGGTGAATGGAGTGCTGTTAGCTGTGCCGGTGCAATGTGAGGACCCGATGCCCGGAGAACAATAACGAGGAGAGACTCCACAAAGGTGCTGTAGAGAGGAGACAGGACCTTATCAATGGATTCTGATATGTAAAGTATAAGTTTGGAAAGTGCTCTTGCTATTTAATCAGTGATAAAAATCCAATAGAAATCCATAAAAATGTGCCTCAGGGGCAGCAACACACCGTTTGGTGACGTTAATAACTATTTTTGTTCAGCCTCTGTCAGACTCTCCAGTCTGCTCTACATTACAAAGACGCATCAAATTAAAACTAAATACTTTAAACAATAAGAGCACCGTACCCTATGTCATGGCGATAAAAAATATGAGGCATGTATGAGATATTAATTTATCATCATGAGCAACATACTGACTAATGATTTATTCAAACTTCAGCTACTGTCCACTATTCTGCGGCAGCGCTTTTAGCGCCACCATAATCCTGCTCCAGACAGAAGTTTTCTGGACTGCTTTTATACCAGTTTTGATGCTTTCAAAGAGCAAATCCTTGTTAGTTTCCACCACAGACACGAGGATATCCACTTTCAGCTCGGAAATCCTCTTTCAGCTTGGAAAAGTTTCGCATCTTTCTAATATTTCTCCTCTTTCATGTTTGACCTCAGTGGGTGAGGCTTCCGAACCACAAATATTTAAGGGCATAAACATGTTAATGACGATCGATTTCAGCCGCCACATTTATCAAGACTCGATCATACGTATGCTGGAATTGGTCAGATACGAACCCTTTCTAAATCTCACGTGTGTCCTATCGTACGATGAATCCTGCGCTCAGATCTGCACAAGCTTGATAAATGAGGGCCAGTGTCTTCATATTTTTAGTACCTCTTTGTTGTGGGTTCTCCCAGAAAAAAATCAATATGGCGTAGTCAAGAAGGTACGTTTTAGGTTTTTTTTTATTCCACCAGTCTCCAAACAGTGGAAAAATTTTTTGTATAGTGTCCCAAAAACTATTTACAAAAATATACAATTACCTGAACAATGGGCTCACACTGACAAATGGGTTCTTCAATCACCCGCAATCACAGCTTGAGCCACCAGCAAACTCAACCCCCCCCCACCCCCCCAAAAAACAGTGCATTAATGAGTTAACAATTTTCCAGCATCTGCCATGTACCAATTCTCCACACTCACATGGACAAAATGGCTGTCTTTTAAACAATAAGCCCCTCCCAGTTGCTGTATTACAGCAACATTGCTTTAAAGACCACTTACAGATAGCAAAATACCTCTTTTACATTTCCCCCAATTTCTACGTGTTAATTCAGTTCCCCTTTTTCCCACCAAGTGCCTCTTAAAACCGGAAAGTAGATGTGCCCCTGTTTGGCTTACGCTGTGGCTGACCAAAGGCAGTGGGGAGGAGAGCTCGCGTTTTATGGTGAGTGTCTCTGTGTTATGTGTGAACATGTGTGTAGAACGACGAGTGTGCACCCTCATTTGAACTACTGGACCTGTGGGGATGTGAATAACTTTAACATAAATCATAATTGAAAGCTCCAGACACACTTCAGGGTTTATTAGAGACTAGTGTTCATACATGAATTGTATTTTCCACATATGCAGAAGGTTCCTCATGGTAAGTCAAGACTCATAAGGAGAAGAGTGTGAAGTGCAGCACCCCTCCTTGTAATTAGTGAGGACTCAACTCAGACTTGGACTCAGGCAATAGGAACCTGTTTCTTAGATTTCAGACCTGAATCCTTAGAATCTTTTTTTTTTTTCTTAAAACTTAGCGACCAGCACCCTTTTCACAAAGATGAAGATTTTTTCAAGAACTACTTTTTCAGCTTTTTATGCTTCAAATGACAGGGAGGACGAAACATGCACTAAAGGTTTGTGACCAGAAGGCAAATCTGCAGCCTGTGATGTGGAGGCTGATCTACCAAGTGAGCAACAACAGCATCCCAAACATGATGAAATTTAATATATTTCAGCCATTTGTGTGCATGTGTGTGTGTTAGAGAGAAGGAAAGAGAGAGACAGAGAGAGAGACAGAGCGAGAGAGAGAGAGAGAGAGAGAGAATATGAGTGTGTGGTACTTGACCTGACATGCACCCACGTTGTTCCTACTTTTCGAAGCAAAAACTCACCCACACAAATAAATACAATATTTCACACAAAAATACACACATATTCATTCAAACACATAACACTGACAGAGCTTCACACACACACACACACACACACACACACACACACACACACACACACACACACACACACACACACACACACACATGGACTGCAGGCTGCAGAGCTCTGCCAAATGATGGGGTCCTGAGAGGCAGTGGCTCTGACCTTGGCTGCCCGTGTGTATGTGCCTGACTCCAGCTGGGCGTCCATTAGAGGGCTCCACAACAGACACTGGCCTCTGCTGAGAGCCAGGGGTCGAATACTTTACACACACACGCACACAAATGAAAACACAGATACACACAGACACACAAGTTACACACACACCCACGCACAGGCATGTGTGTGTCTAATCGAGTGTTCGTGAGGGCATTTCATAAACATGCTCAAATGTAACACTGATGCATTAGGTAAACAACACACAAGCTGTGTGTGTGTGTGTGTGTGTGTGTGTGTGTATGCATGTATGGTAGAGTATGACAGTGAGCAGGGGACAAAAGACGCCACATGTGGCCAGTGATTGGAACCTGGGCTTAGTGCTGGTATAAACAGGTGTTAGTTTATGATCTGTGACTGGGTCAGGAAATTTCACATACGACAACAACTGTGGAGCTTGATTTGTCTAACTTAGATGACATAGATTTCATGCCAAAATTATACATTGTTTCTGGACTGAGGACAGCAAATTCAGCTTATTATTGTTCACATGGAAAACATGTGCTTATGGAAAACAACAGTTAAGGGATAAAGGATGGATGGATGGATAAAATATCAATGATTGATGGATGGCATACAGATAGAGGGTTGGATGAACGGAAAGATGATGGATGTAAACTGACATATGAACGGATATATGGTTTAATGGTTAACACAAAGAATTAATGGCTGGCTGGCTGGATGGATGGATAAGAAGTTGATGTACAGACATGTACAGATGGATTGGTTAAAAATCTATGGATTATTTGATGTATGGTGAAATGGATAACACAATAATAAATGAATGAATGAATGTTTTAATGAATGATTGTGAACTGATGGTTGGATGGATCACTGGAATGACAGATGGAAATATGAACTACGGGTGGGTAATTGGCTGGATATTTATTGACAAAGATGTATGAGTCAAAGGATGGAAACATGAGTTTCAGATGTAGGGTTGAAGGTATGGATAAAAGACAGTTGAAGGATTGATGGATGGTTAGATGGATGGATGAGAAGTTACCATGTAAATGGATCGATGGATAAAAGTTTGATGGATCGATGGATGGCATACAGATAGATGGTTGGATGTATGGTAATTGAATGTAATGGTTAACACAAAGAATTAATGGCTGCAATGAAGGATGGATGGTTGGATGTACACTACAGTCCAAAGGTTTGGAAGCAAGATCAGATTTGTACCAAAAAATCATAGTTTCATATATATAATTTGCAACACAATAAACATGACTTTTGTGTAAAGAGTAACTTATCAGAAGACATTTTGACTATAATTATTAGGTATTTGAGTTATTGTTGCTTAGACTTTGCTTATACCAGGCATTCGTTCCACAAGTATATTAAGGTATGTTCCAGGGATTGCATTCCAAGCTTTCTTATGTTCATTAAAAAGAGACTGCTGATTCGTGGGACGCGTTTTTCTGACCGATCGATCCAATCCATCCTGCACAAGCTCAATTGGAGAAAGGTCTGGAGACTGAGGAGGCCAAACCATCTTTTGAAGAACACCTTCCTCTTCTTTTTTTGTCTCGGTAACCCTGACAGAGCTTGGCAGAGTGCTTAGGGTCATTGTCTTGCTGCAAAACAAACTTGTGAGCCACAAGGCTGAGTCCAGATGGAACAACATGGTGCTGGAGGATGGAGTGGTACTGTTCCTTCTTCATAATACCCTTTACTTCAAACAAATCTTTTACTCCATCATCTGCAAAATATCCCCATACCATGGAACTACCACCTCCATGCTGAATTGTGGGTGTAACACATGGTGCTTTCAGACGTTCACCAGTTTGTCTGCGGACATAGACTTTGCGTTTTGAACCAAACGGTGCAAACTTGTTTCTATATAAGTCCAATTTTTGTGAGCTTTTGCCCACTCATATCTCTTGTTCTTGTTCTGTGGACGAAGTAGTGATTTTGAAGATACACAACCCTTCAGCCCAGACTTTCTCAAACGTCATTTCATGGTTGTCAGAGATATGGGTTTCGACCTTGTCATGTTGATTTCCTCCCTTATTTTTGGTGCTGTCTTTTGCCGATCTCTCTTACTGGTGACAATGCTATGTTTATCCTCTGCTTTTGTAGTAACTCTCTTTTGTCGAGGTCTTTTTCTATCATCATAACTTCCAGGTGCCTCTAGTCTCTTCAGAGTGTAGTGGACTCCTTTGTTAAACACCTTTAGGCGTTTTGCAATTTCTCTTTCTGTATCCTTCTTTCCTCAATGTACAAATCTGTACTTTTGTTTCTTTACTCAGTTGCCTCTTTCTAGCCATTTTTGTGTTAGTTTGAACGCAGTTGAGATTTATTAGGATTTTTGTATGCAGACTCTCAAAAGCCAAAAAGTTGAAGTGAATAATACAACTGTGATTTGTTTTTTTGCTTTTGCACTGAAGTTGTGACTCTTGCAAATGTTTTCAACCCTAAAACTAAGCCCTTATTATCTTTTGCTGACATATATTTAGCAATGGTCTGTTAACATCAATGTATATCTAAAGGTAAAGGAGTAAAATGGTTCATTTCCATGAAAGCAACATCTGACCATGGAGTACATACATCCCAAAATACATATGCTGGATTTAAAAAAAAGCACTGTGAACAAAAACTTGAAGTTACTCCTAACTGTTTGGCCTGTAATGGCCTTGCTTCCAAACTTTTGGTCTATTGTGTCTGTTAAAATGAGAGGATAGTTGAATAGATGGACAAATGGATGTCAGAAGAATGGTTTGTTATATTGATAGTAGACCGTTAGATAATGGATGGATGGTAAAATGACTGGATGGGTGATAACATATTTGATAGTCAAATAACAGTAACAGATGAAGGACTGATGGATGGATGGACGGTTAAAAGATTGACTTAAAGGTAAATGGACAGATGAATGGTGGGGGATCACAGAAAGCAGGATGGACTTACAGACAATCAGACTGATAGATGATGGATGGTTTAATGTACAGATGTTTGAAAGGATGATGGTTGGATGCATATTATGGATGAAAGATGGTGGTATGGATGATATTTGGATGTCTGGATTAATGAAAGGTGATGATGTTGGATGTATGAAGTGATGGATGGATGTATAATAGTTGGCTGTGTGGATGATGGATGGATAGATAGACAACAAATGGATTATGGTCACATCTAGGGGTAGATGGGTGAATGTATGATATTGAATGGATGGATTAAAATTGGGTGGAATAACTGTAGCATGATTTACAGATTGAAGGACTGATGAAAGGAAGTGGATGATTTAAAAAGAAATATGTATATCACAAGACAGACAAACAGATGGACAGATATAGAGACAGACAGACATTGATAGATAGATGGATGAATGGATAGATAGGTAGATAGATGGATAGATAGATAGATAGGTATATAGATAGATAGATAGACAGATGTCCACTGTCGCCCCTCTAATTATGGACATCATAAACTTTTCCCTCCAACAGTGGCTGGTCTTTTCCTCCTTTCTTTTAAAGGGTCTACAGTCTAATTGTACCCTGTCTGCTGTCTGCAGTGTATCCACTGAGCCACAACACTGTCGACTGCAGACACCACCTCCCAGCATGCCATCTCTCTCTCTCTCTCTCTCCCTCTTTCCCTCTCTAAGCTGGTCAGCTCCGGCTCCACAGCCATCATTAAAGCGTTCTGGCTGATCACACCCTTTAATTGGACCATACCAGCGGCCCGGGCAAAAATGGCGGCTTGTTAGCTCAGCTGCAGAGTGAAGCAAAGGCACAAACAAACAAGCAAACAAACAAATGAGGATATAAACAAACCACATGGAAGCTGACTTGGAACATGAAACACGTGAAGATGCTTAAACGAGGTCGACCTGCAGACAGAAGAATCGGTTCAGAGACATGTTGGAAATACTTTGTACAGGAATCAGTTTTTATCTGCTGTTTTCCCTCTGACGGGGAAACACTGGCGCTTTTTATTTCACAAGTTAACCAGTAAAATAAGCCTTAATTTATGTGACACAGTAGCTATTTGGTGGCCATTTAGAGGCAAATTAGAGCCAAATGACTACCAAGCATTCATTAGTAGCATGGGTGGCCCCAGTGGGACTTGTAATGCAGGCTGTAATGTTTTGGTCTACCCCCTAAAACAGAATACTTGATATCTGGAGCATTTGAAGGCATCTGTAGGTAATATTCAAACAACTTTCTGCATAGAAACAGCTCTGCTCCTGCATTGCATCAAATAACCCTTTGCTTTCCTCCTCCTCCTCTCCTCTGTGCTGTTTAATTTGGAGGCGGGCGTCTGTGCATTGTAATATTTTCCATTTAGCGCTGAGGGACTGGGAGAATTCAGTGGGTCGTTTCACTTTCACGCTTTGCTGAAGAAAAAGCGAGGACCATCTGACAATAGTTACTACGAGTCACCTTGGTGCTGCTTTTATCCTAACAGGGTGTCAGATAATTCAAGGTTGTTAATGCAGCAGCATCTCCGTTAAATCATGAGCTTTAGGTGCAACGCAGCTTCTCTAATCCACCTACAGCTGTATGCTGCTGTTGCTCCACTGATTTATAGATAACTGTTATGATACTCAGACATTAACGCCTCCAGCTGGGAATTCATCCTCTTCTCTCTTTTATCCTTCTGATAGAAAATCGGCATATTGCTCAAGGGCACATAAGCAGTCAATAATTGTCATCTGCTGTCTACAGCAAAATGCATGGCTGATGTGTAGTCACATCTGTGTGCAGCTCATCAGAAATCCGTGCAAGGCTGTGATTGGAGCCAAACAACACAACAGAGATGATTGTTAATAACCTTTAATTTCAGCTTTGGCAGCCACAGGTACAAACATACAGGTAACAGCTCAGTTCACTTCTATCTTCAGGTTGTTCAAGGTCAGGTGGTTCAGTAGATAGGAGCTTGCAGGATGCAAACAGTGGCATTAGGATGGGAGCCTCTGTGGCACTGGTAAGTACATAGGAAAACTCTTGATAAAATGAAGCATAAAAACATACACAACAACAATATTGGCGAGCGAGAGCAGCACAGCAGTGTCAACCTTGTCCTCAAATGAGGATCTAGTGCCAAAAAAGGGAGCTACCTCTGTGGTGTGGATGTGGTTTGTACAAAAAAATCATAGTTTCAACTAAGTTTTACCACCTAAAGCTAAAACACATGGCCGAAGATCAGCAGGCTTTGAAGCCATGTGATGAGGACGTGCAAGCAGCTACTGGTGTTCAGTGTAAAAGTAAACAAACAGAGCATTGCAGGAGCACTCACTGCACTCTGTTTGATAAAAGAAAAAAAAAAACAGACGGTGGCAGGTCATTACAGAAGTGGTCACGTATTCTTAGGTTAAAGACATGGGGCTCTATTTTCGTGCCTCGCCGGAGACGTGCTGCAGGCGCGGCGTAAGTGAGGTCCGCTGCGCCGACAAGGCGTTCCCAAGCACAATTTGGTATTTTGGTTTGAGGCGCAGCCCGGCGTAAGTATCCCCCCTCCCTAACTCAGCTCCTCCCAGCGGCGTAAGTCGGAGCGGGGGAGAAGCTAGGGCGTGGAATGGGTTTAACACAGCCAAGACCTGTTTTCACCAATCACATAAGCTCCTCTCCTTGCCTTTAAATCCGCCACCGGCGAGGCGTATTACTATTTTCGTGAAGTAGTCAAAGAGATCAAGAGATGTCTGAAGACAGTAATGCCACAAGATGGCAACATAAAGCAGCTCCGCAACAAGTGTCACTGTAAGCGCTGCATTGGGCGTCCTCCACACTCTCTCATATGAGCACAGATGGATTTGGTGTGTGTAATGTTGGACCCCCTGGTAAGACAAACACCCTTTTCCACAAATAAAGACACCCACATAAAGTTGCATATATTCAAACCTCACGTGACAAAGGTGGGTTGAGCGTACAGATAACAACATAAACTCCAAAAATGGCATTAAAATCGGAACCATCTGTGCGTAAATGACGCATCGCGCTCCATGGCCTGGCTCTTTCTTTCATAGATGTTGGCATATAAAATAAATTTGGCCCACAAAACTGAATATTATAATATCCATATGTAGGCGTAAAGTAAATAACTCATCTGAGCACTGAAACAAATCATCTGTTCAGCCGCTGCAGCTGGAGCAGGATGGAGAGAGGACATGGAGACATGTCCAGGTCGAGCTGCGCAAGAAATAAGAGGAAGCGGAAGAAAGAAAAGGAGGGAGACGAATCACATATCTTGTTAACTTCATCATGTGTGTTTATTTACTAGATATTTAATTTAATTTAATGTGGTTTCAGCTGTGTTGATTCGGTCAGGTTGTGTGTCCAAACGCGTGCCAAACGCGCTCATCAGATAAGATATAGATCAGAATATATCTATATAGATCTAAATGGATGTGCTGACTCAGATTATTAGTTGTTGATGATTATTTATTGCACTAAAATGTGCCTGGCACTGTGGAAACCTGCCTGTGAGGCATCCGTGATGTATGCCGATACGCCGTAGGTCTACCAAAATACCTCTAGACCAGCTGCGCTCCGCCTGCGCTGAAAGCTGACCAGGTTTGAATCGGTGAGCTTTCAGCGCACTTTACACGCCGGTGGCGAGCACGAAAATGTCACTGCGCCCGCTGATTCTGTCGACACCTCCCCCTGCCTCGCCACCACGCCCAGCTTGGCGGATCTCGGTTTGCCTCCGTGCGCCTCAGTCCAGGAAAATACCAAACTGGCTGTACACCTGGCTCCGCAAGATGAAAATACAACTGCGCAGGGTCCGTCACCCTCCGCCGCCTCACCCGCGAGGAACGAAAATAGAGCCCATGAAGTCAATTTAGGCTGTTGGAAAGGAAGGCTTTGAACACTTATAAACACAAATAAAAAATTGCCTGTAAGACTGACATGGTTGAGCCTAACCTCCGAACCTTATATCAGCCCGGCGGTCCATTGCAGAGGCAACAACTGGAAACTGCACAACTCCTGGATCCCATAGGGACTTTCCCAAGGATCACATAGGAGAAAATATTGCGTGTGGATTAAGGGAGTTTCTTGAGTCATGAAATCTACAAGAGGACAAACAGGGGGGTATTCCACGAAGCTGGCTAAAGAAGTCTGGGCTATCGCCGGTAAGCATGGCTTAAAAAAGCAGCCACTTTAATCTTAGGTGTGACTCGTTCCACTAACGAGGCTCAGCTGTTTTTCATCAATGCTAATTCTAGCCAGGCTGATCCAAGCTGCGGCTATGCGCGCCTCTGTGGAACATAAAAAGCCCGACACATTGATTGTCGAAATGACAAGATCATGGAATAAAAGTGCAGAGCGGAGTCTTTCTCAGCGGCGGGGCAAACACTCCTCATGGAGTTGTATGAAGAGTACAAGGGAAAAATTCAAAAGAAGGGCAACACTGTTGCCATTGTGAAAGCCAGGGAGATGGCGTGGTAAAGTATCGTGGACCATTTTAATTTGTAAGTTATAGCTGACAAATTTTACAACCGACGCATGTCTCGATGCAGTCAGCCTGTTTGGCTGTCTAATTTTATTCCTCACTTCTGCGTATGTACTGTAAACATTTTTTTTTTTTTTTAACTTTTCATCTCGTGTATGTGCAGCTCATTGAGCTACATCGCTGTACCCAAGGGTCTGTATAGATTAAGATCATTAGTGTGGGAGAATTAGACACATTTCTCATAAAAACAGCTCTGTGGGAAATCTGGAAGGATTAATGCATCTTGATTCCATTTGCCCTATGTTGTATGATTGGTAAAGCACTTCTTAGCCCATGTTTATTGTTCTCTTCTGCATCTCAACAGGAGTAATCTCAATAGCCAAAAGCAAACGGGGCAACAGGTCAAAATTAAGTACAAAAACATTCTACAAAGTGGTAAGTAGCCTCTGCTGACATGCGAATTATGTATGTAAAAATAGGAGCTTAAGCTGTTACTATGTACAATTGCAGCTACCAAAAAAGGGGCCACTGCAACAGGTGGAGGACCTCCACTTAAAAGCCCCACACGAGCAGAGAAGCTAGTGCTGAACACAAACAAGGGGCTCCCTCTGGTTGAAGGGATAGAAGGCGGGACGTCCTCTGAAGAAATCCCCCAATTAACCCCAGCACTACTTGTGCAAGGTACACACTGCTACTTATCCTCCAGAGCTTGGGGTCTCTCAGGTAGCTCTAACAGTTTGTCTTTGCCTTTTAGTGTGTGGGGACACAATAAATTTGCTCAATCCACCAACTCAAGATGCTGACATCATCCCTGACCCATGTAGGCTGTATTGGGACAGGAAAAAGTGCCTAGAAAGGGAAGTTCGTTCCACTACGCTGGTGCTACTTGTTCAATGCTATTTTGCATAGACAATACCCTTCTGGACTTTGGGTTAAAATATCTGCTCAGACTATCTGTCCGACTTTTGTCACCAGCCAGAAATGTACATATGTGAGTAACACAAAAAACAATTATATGGTGCTGCTGTTTTTGCTTGTAGAAACTGCTATGTTGATTCTGGCAAGACAAAATCTTTCTCAAATGTCATAAATACATCTACCTAACATCTGAAACAGTTATTGGTGCCTTAGTATACGCATAAGTGAATTCAGATTATGAAATGTAGCAAATTTCTTGAAGAAAACGTCTCAACTCAAGTGATTTGCACCCAGCACAATGAAATATGTACAGAAAATTTAAATTTGAAAAATGACACAACGTACTGTGTAATAAAAGCAATAAAATATAAACAGCACACCAAATGGCTAAAAATCAATCAAATTGCTACCGCGCCCCCCAAAATTGGAATAAAGGAAAAAATGTAGTAAGTCAAAAATAAATGCACAAAAGGTCTGAATTAATTCAAAATATGGTATAAAACATTTATTCAAGTATCACAGTGTCAAAACATCTGACATTTATCAATCCCTCCAGGATATGAACATAAAGATTAAAACACAAACGCAGACAAATGTAGAACAAATATAAAAATAATAAAAATAATAAAAATCTCAAATCTCGGTGTATCAGTCCTTTAAACAAAACAAATTTTACATGGTGACATGGTGCGTATACATCACTATCACTTTCATCAGAATCATTATCCCATACAGCTTTCTTCTGTTTCCTTTTGAAGTATTCTCACATACTTGGCACCGACATAAATCTGTACAAGATAGTCTTTCAGACATACAAGAACATCGTTCAGTCTCACATTTGGTTGTCTTGCAACTACAGTCGACTATCTGCAAAACACTATCAGGGCAGGATTTGTAGTCATCCATGTCACTTCCAATCCCCCATCCTCACTGTGCCACCCATTGTGCATCCATACGTTCACAGGTTGTGACTTGACCAGTGCCTTTCATGGCAAGGGCAAAAGAAAAACATTTTCTGTTGCTTGTCAGAAAGAAGAATACCTGACTGGGTTTGCAAATCTGGGCAACAGTTTTAACCTTGACCAATCCACCTTTAACATGCTGAATAATTATGTGTGCCACCTGTATGGCCAGTCATCTGCCAAAAATGTAAATGATGTCAGAAACAAATCTTTCTGCATGGCCTCGTCAGCTTTGCCAGAACTGTCCATTCTCCCAACAAGTGACGCCCTGTACCAACACTGCATGAGAGCAAACTGCCAAGCAGCGGTGATGAAACATTCTCTGACTGATAAAATGTGTGCCCCTTCACCCATTGGCAATGGGTGGCACATTGAGGATAGGGAGTTGGCAGTGACATGGATAACTACAAATCTTTCCCCTAGTAGTGTTTTGCAGATAGTCCACTGTCGTTGCAGGAAAACCAAATGTGAGACTGAACGATGTTCACTTATGCGTATACTAATGCACCAATAACCGTTTCAGAGTTTATGCAAAAATGTATTGAACAAGTAGCACCAGCGTAGTGGAATGAACTTCCCTTTCTCGGCACTTTTTCCTTTAGCCTAGGACCTCGAGCGAAGTTTCTTTCACAGAGTTTCAGATGCCGTGGACGTGGATGCATCGGCGATGCTGGCTGAAGGGTTTGCCTGACCCACGGCTGCATCACGTTCTTGTTTCTTTTCGGCCAAACTCAAACCCCTTTCGCAAATAAATCGCTGGTAGCTTGTCATGTGAAACCAAGCGTCATTAGGAACATTGTCAAAGTCGATATCAAAGCAATGTTTATAAGTTTCTGCAAGGTCCTTTGTCTCACCCTGTAGAGAAAGCCACTTTCTAATACAAGTTCTGTAAGTCTCCCAACGTGTCCTTGTAAAGTCGAGAACGTCTTCGCTCTGGACAGATGATAGATGCATATAGCATCGTTTCAGCCCAAACTGATCTACAAGAAGTCAGGACAAATGTGACGTTTGATGGAGGTATCTGATTTTTACAGATCATATATATATATAACCAAACACCTTGCTGCAGGGCGTGACCAGAACCGCACAGCAGACGGCATCAGCCAGACATGAAGTAGGTTACAATTAATTGAATCTACCAACTATGTGGCTGGGGACTCACATATACTATCTCTTACACAGGACATTTGTTCCATGTACAGACGGCACCTTCAGCTGACAATGGAGAACCAAAGGCTGGACCAGAAGATGAAGCATTTTCAAATAAAGAAGCTGAAGTTGGAAATCATGAAACTGGAGAAGGATGAAAGAACAAGTCACACACTAGGAAGCTATGGTTAAAATTCCATTTTTTTAATTTTCTTTTTTTTTCCATCACAGCTCAATCTGAATTAAAACAATACCAATGACTCAAAGAACTGGTTCTTTTGTCCAATTAACATGGGGGGGGGGGGGGGGAGAAAAAAGAAGACATTCAAAATGAATGCATTTGAAAGTGCTCAACTGAAATAGGTAACCTTGTAAAGGTCCTTGACTCTTCGCCCATCCACAGGTGCCTGTGGGTCTGGGTTGATGTCCTCCCATCCCTCTTCCTCCAACACAGCGGGCAGTCTCTCGCCACGAATGGTGGCAATGTTGTGCAAAACTTAACACGCAACAATGATATCACAGGCTCTGTCAGGGGCCACTCTCAGGCACTGACAGCGAGATTTTAATTGTCCAAAAAGCATTTCTACTCGTGCCCTGGTTCTCGAGTGGGCACGGTTGTCAGTGACAGGTGAGGGGCTGGTGCAGTCATTGGTGTAGAGGTGTACAGAAATGGACTGAGAACACACCCCTGGGGGACGCCGGTGTTGGTGATTCTGGTGGATAAGGTGGATGAATTGATTCTAACAGCCTATGGTCTGTTACTGAGGAAGTTGTGGATCCAGCAGATGAGGAGTGGAGACAGGTTGAGGGTTTGGAGCTTCCTGATCATCTGGTGCCGCTGTATAGTATTGAATGCTGAGCTGAAGTCAATGAAGAAGATTGTTGCAAAGGTGCCAGGTGATTCGAGATGGTGCAGGAGGGGGTGGAGGAGACATGCTACTGCGTCCTCTGTTCCCCGTTTTGCCCTGTATGCAAACTGGTATGGGTCAAGTAGAGGTCTGACAGCTGGAAGGATGGAGTGGAGGATGAGCTTTTCCAAGCACTTCATCACGATGGAGGTGAGTGCAATCGGTTTGTAGTGGTTTGGCTCAGATGGATGTGGCTTCTTGGGAACCGGAATGATTATGGAGGTTTTCCAGGCTGTGGGGATGTGTGCCAGCCTGATGGAGTCCCAGAAGATGGAATGCAGGATTGGGGATAATTCCATTGTGCACAGCTTCAGCACCCTGGCTGGGATGTTATCCAGGCCCGGTGCCTTACCCACTTTACACCTGCTCAGCTGCTGGCGTACATCCTCCACAGAAAATGGAGGCTGAGATGGGGCGTCCAGGGGCAAGGCACTGAGCAGCTCATCGCAGAGGGCAGAGTGGTCAGCGGTATCAAAGCGAGTGTAAAAGGAGTTCAGGGAGTCAGCGAAAGTGGCGGCGTTGGTTGATATGTTGTGTCCTGAGCTGGGTGCTTGACCACTGAGGGTCTTGATTTTCTTGTAAGCCTGTCTGGTGTTCATACTGCTGAATTCCTGTTCAAACCTGTCTTTGTACCTGAGTTTGGTCTTTGTTATGTCGTTTTAGATCTGTCTGTTGAGCGTGTTGATGGTGTTCCAGTCCTGACGCTGGAAGGCTACCAGTCTTTCTTTCATGCTGATTTTGATGTGAGATGTAATCCAGGGTTTGAAGTTAAGGTACTTCTTGAATGTCCTTGTGGGTATGGTGGATGATTTGCATAATTTAATGTAATCAGTAATTGCTGAGACTCTGTGCTCCAGGTCTCCATGAAAATCCCAGTACCTCCCAGTCTGTACAAGCAAGAGATCCCTGCAGCTCTGCGATTGCGTCCTCCGACCATATGGTGGCGCTGTAGGTGGTGGGCTTGGCGCGTTTCAGTTTCGTCTTGTAATGCGGAAGCAAAACAACAACATTGTGGTCGGAGTAGCCAAGTGGAGGATGCGCCTGCACAACAAACGCATCAGGAATATTCCCATAGCATAAATCCAGGGTGTTGTGCTTCCTCGTAGGAATGTTCACATACTGGTGCAGTGATGGCATAACACAGTCCAGTCTACAGTTTTTGAAATCACCCACAATGAACAGTGTAGCATCAGAATACTTAGCCATCATGGCGTTAGCATCCTCGGCTAGTAGCTCAGCTGCTGCCCTGATGTTAGCACTTGGGGGAACATAAACACAGCTGATTGTTATGCATGGGAATTTCCTCGGGAGGTAGAAAGGCCGTAGGAGTAGTGTCAACGATTCTACTTCGGGTGTGCAGATTGTGCAGTGAATCTTGATGTTAACACACCACCGCTTGTTAAGGTAGATGCAGACTCCACAGCCCTTGTTCTTGCTGGACTCCCTCGTCCTGTCAGCCCGCAGGGTGGTAAAAGCCATCGAGACTGACCTCAGAGTCTGTGGTGGTCCCGTCCAGCCAGGTTTCCATCAGGGCGATGATCAATGCCTCCTTGAAGGTATGTACAACCTGGCTCTTGGCACACAAGCCATCGAGACTGACCTCAGAGTCCGTGGTGGTCCCGTCCAGCCAGGTTTCCATCAGGGCAATGATCGATGCCTCCCTGAAGGTCTGTACAACCTGGCTCTTCGCATGCAGCAGGTCCATCTTGTTCCGTAGGAAGCAGACATTAGCCAGGACGATGGTGGGGAGAGGGGGTCTGAAGGGACGCTTTCTCAGGCTGGTGCGTACCCAACCTCTCCTACCTCGTTTTCTCAGTCGGAGTTCGGGTGGTAGGTTAACTACTGGCTTCAGGAGGCAGGGTGAGGAAGAGCGAAGTTGGAGGAGCTCCTCGCAGCTGTAGGTGAGTGGAACATACAGCCAGTTTGGTATTTTCGTGGACTGAGGCGCACGGAGGCAAACCGAGATCCGCCAAGCTGGGCGTGGTGGCATGGCAGGGGGAGGCGTCGACAGAATCAGCGGGCGCAGTGACATTTTCATGCTCGCCACCGGCGTGTAAAGTGCACTGAAAGCTCGCTGATTCAAACCTGGTCAGCTTTCAGTGCAGGCGAAACGCAGCTGGTCTAGTGGTATTTTGGTAGACCGGCGGCGTATCGGCATACGTCACTGATGCCTCACAGGCAGGTTTCCACAGTGTCAGGCACATTTCAGTACAATAAATAATCAACAACAACTATTAATCTGAGTCAGCACATACATTTAGATCTATATAGATATACTCTGATCTATATCTGATCTGATGAGCGCGTTTGGCACGTGTTTGGACACACAACCTGACTGAATCAACACAGCTGAAACCGCATTAAATTAAATTAGATTAAATATCTAGTAAATAAACACATGATGAAGTTAACAAGATATTTAATTTGTATCTCTCCTTTTCTTTCTTCCTCTTCCTCTTATTTCTTGTGCAGCTCGACCTGGACATGTGTCTGTGTCCTCTCCCCGTCCTGCTGCAGCGGCTGAACAGATGATTTGTTTCAGTGCTCAGATGAGTCATTTACTTTAAGCCTACATACGGATATTTTAATATTCAGTTTTGTGAGCCAAATTTATTTTATATGCCAACATCTATGAAAGAAAGAGCCAGGCCACGGAGTGCGATGGTTCCAATTTTAATGCCATTTTTGGAGTTTATGTTGTGATCTGTGCGCTCAACCCACCTTTGTCATGTGAGTTTTGAATATATGCAACTTTATGTGAGTGTCTTTATTTGTGGAAAAGGGTGTTTGTCTTACCAGTGGGTCCAACATTACACACACCAAATCCATCTGTGCTCATATGAGAGAGTGTGAAGGATGCCCAATGCAGCGTTTACAGTGACACTTGTTGCGGAGCTGCTTTATGTCGCCATCTTGTGGCATTACTGTCTTCATACATCTCTTGATCTCTTTGACTACTTCACGAAAATAGTAATACGCCTCGCCGGTGGCGGATTTAAAGGCAAGGAGAGGAGCTTATGTGATTGGTGAAAACAGGTCTCGGCTGTGTTAAACCCACTCCACGCCCTTTCTCCTCCCTCGCTATGACTTACGCCGCTGGGAGGAGCTGAGTTAGGGAGGGGGGATACTTACGCCGGGCTGCTCCGCTCACCAAAATACCAAATTGTATTGTCGGCGCGGCGGACCTGACTTGGGCCGCACTTGCGGCACGTCTCCCGCGAGGCACAAAAATAGAGCCCATTGTGTTAACAGACCACCTTCAAAAGTTTAACAAGTGATTTATTTTGACAACATAACAAAATTACAAACTACACTCAAAGAACCCACAACACAAATAAGAGGCAGTAGGGCAGCAGTTCCCCACCATCTATTGCCTCTTCAGACTGCAGGCAGCTCTTGGTCTCTAAAGTCCCAGCACCAGGTGAGTCTGATTGTCACTTAGTGACTTCACCTGGGCAGTTATGGGGAGAAAAAAGGGGGAAAACACACACACACACACACACACACACACACACACACACACACACACACACACACAGCGTAACACCCCCACCCCACCCCCACCCAAGACAATGAATAAATAATTGGAACTGTGAAAATAAACATTACTATTGCACACACCATAAATCTAAAAAAATTACAAGCATTTATTCATTGAATTAAAGTGCATTGTGCCAACCATATTAACAAAGGAATTTAAATGGGTGTTACTTACCAAGGCTGTGTGTGACAAAACACGGGCCACTACACAAGCTTAAAGAAAACTTTCATTCAAAGTTGAATACAACCACTGCTGACTAAAAGTTACAAAATGGGTCATGAGGAACACAAAATCTTAATTAGGGCCAAAGAAGATGCTGCAGCCAAATTTAAGAGCATCCGTCATAAAAGTAGCCAATTAAGTGGGTGCCACCTCCAAAAAGCAAAATGGCTATTACCATGAGGTTAACACACACACACACACACACAGACACACACACACACACACACACACGCAAAGAGCAAAACACTAAATTTGCCAATACCACACACAGTAACAGTTGTCCAAAGTGGAGCAAACAGTCACATGCAGACAGATAAACAAAAGTAGACAGAACTACAACAGTGCTGTCATTCCCAAACAGCACACAAAAGTTCTAACAAAGGTGACAGCCGCCATCGCAACATAAATGGACACAAGTCCTCGAAAGACATACAAGTTACTGTGATAAGGCCGGCAACAAGCCAAACAAACGGAACATACAATTCAGAATACAAAGCAGTAACACACAAGTGACCCACCAAATGTGGACTGCAAAACACTACACAAAATGGTCACATAGCAGTCACCACTACACAAATGTTGCCACCTTATACCTAAGATGCAACTCACACGTGACCCACCAAATGTGGAGAGCAGTTACCACCAACAAATGGTCACACAACACAAGTTACTGCGCACACAAAATCCTAATTGTAATCACACAGAGTGACCAAGCAAAAATGGGTAGCCTTCTGAAACACACACAAAAACAGTACTGTAGTACAAAACAATTTTGAAGAGCAAAATGAGTCACCCCAACCCCTACCTCCTTGACAAGATGTCTGACTTACCTAACTAGTCTTCAGTGGCCTGCCGAGCTCGAGGCATCACCTAAGTGTGCCCCCTCCTCAGGATTACCACCAAAAATAAGAAAGGCAAAATAAAAAAGTGGCAAGCGCTTCCCTGCCCAGCAACTAAATGATCAGGGTGCTCAGAAGTTACAAATAAAAGCAACTACTAATGATAGTGACAGAAACAGAAGACTAACAAACCCAAACTATGGTCACTAGTTACGAATGGAAAAAAAAATCAACCTCAAAGAACTCATGGATGTTCGATCCCGGACAAGCCCCCATTTGTTACGCCCCAGCCGAAGGTGGTCCTATGGGCCTAACTACTATCCTCATCTTTTAACCCATTGAGTTAACAATATACCTTCAAAAGTTTAACAAGTGATTTATTGTGACAGCATAACAAACTTACGAACTACACTCAAAGAAACCACAACACAAATGAGAGGCAGCAGGGCAGCAGTTCCCCACCATCTATTGCCTCTTCAGACTGCAGGCAGCTCTTGGTCTCTAAAGTCCCAGCACCAGGTGAGTCTGATTGTCACTCAGTGACTTCACCTGGGCAGTTATGGGGAGACAAAAGGGGGAAAACACACACACACAAAACACACAGCCATAACAGAAGGTAACATCTGGATTTCTTACCTCAGTGTGATATGATGGCTATGGGACTCAGAGACATAACTACAGCGTAATCATCCTTTAAGTGCTCTCTGGAGCAGAGGGGAGTGTTGTTTGATTGGGAGGGTTTGTGTCCAGGACTCTGATGTACTGTTACCCATGTAGTGCAAAACAGGACACTTTATTCAGGACAGAGAGGGAGAAGGAGGAGGAGGAGGAGCACTCCCTCCCTCCCTCTGATGCTCTGACCTTCTCAAAATGTGTGCAAAAGAAAGAGGGAAAGAAGAGGGAGGAGTGAAGTGAGGAAGAGGCCATTTATTTAGCTACCCTCCACTTCAATCCCACAACCTCCAAAATGTGTGCCCATTTATTTAGCTACCCTCCACTTCAATCCCACAACCTCCAACATTGCCATCACCTCTGTGGGGCAGTGATGCTGACAACACCTCAGCTCCAGAATTCAACCTGTCGACTCTCTGCACTCTTCTTACACACCTGAACCTGCTCACACACACACAAAACAAGCAGCATCATTCACACAGAAGAGCAGGTTAATCCTCACATTCAAGCCCTTCAACTGACACACACACACACACACACACACACACACACACACACACACACACACACACACACACACACACACACACACACACACACACACACACACACACACAGTTTAACATTTACCCATCCATCACAGCCACCCTGAGCTCTGCTGATCCTCCTACCTGCAGCCAAAAGTGTGCATATGCATGTGTATGTGTGTGTGCAGCTGGGAGTGAGGCATTGCATGGAGCACACATGCCTGGATGATCACACTGTGCACGGACTGTGCAGCGGCCTCCCAGACAAACTGTCAGCACCAATTAGCACAAATACTAACAACTGACATCCCATAATGTAGCTGCAGCATCACAGTGGAGCAGACTACCCACATGCAGCTATTTTTAATGCACACAAATACTAACATACTGTTAAAACCCTGCTGTGTAATTTTCAGATGAAATGTAGAGCTTCAATATGACTTCATAATGTATAAAGATCTCATCAGTTGGATTTGACCTCACACCAAATGGCGACTGTTGTTACAGCTTACATAGAACAATTGTATAAAATATTAAAAGTGCAGCTTTTACACAAACTTTATGATTCATAATGCATGCTAAGTAGTTAAAATAGACTTCACCGAGCCAGCTGCAGAATCAAAGTAGGCTGATATGTTCATGATTCAATGATCCACTCTACAAAGTCAGAGTGAACTAACTACACATTCAGTCCAAATTGAGTGAAGACTGGAAATTAAACTTTGTGACATGTGTTTGTCACAGTTTCCTGTGATCTGAAAGGAGTTTAAAGAATAACCATCCTCACACTTCAGCTGCAACGTCTCTGCTCTGAGCATCAAACTGTGCAGCTTCATTAGCAAACAGCTAACTGCTTCACTCCCCCAAGAGTTTCCCTCACCATATTCTCACATCTCTCCTGATGCTTGGATTTGGCCCAGACTTCTCGCTGACGTGTAAAAAATGAACAATACTGAGCTCTGGACTTGGATGTGAGAGTGTGTGTCAGTGGGGAAATCGTGTTGCTAATGTGTGGCAGTGTGTGTGGTGATTAGGGTGTGTGTGGTGGGGCTTGAGGCCACTGATGCTCGAAAGACTCCACCCTTACCATCTTTTATAAATAGCTGTGCCCTGGTTTGGTAGCTGGCACCCTGTGAAAATCACACACACGCCCACACACATCCTCAGACACATACACTCACACACACCCTAACCCTGATCCAGTTGCTGCCGAGCGGTCTTTCAGTGTGGTTTGGCTGCCCTTCAAGAAGTGTGTGTGCATATTTAGGAAGGAGTGTTTGTTGAGCTGTTTCTAACTGACCCTCTGTGTGTGTGCGTGTGTTTGTGTGTGTGTGTGCATGTGTGTGTGGACACTCTAATGCCTTGTTTGGCTCTCTCTGCAAACAGATGGAAAAAAATTGGTTAACTGCTGTAAATTACGAGTTTACGCGTGTTTACACCTGTATTTCTGCTGCAATGGGCTCATAAACACATGCAATCACACACCCAAGTGCTCATTCAAAAACACACACATGCAATTAGCAGGAGCATATTTCTCCAAATCTAAGTGGTGCATGAAATAATTCGTACTTTTCTCCTTCCTCATTCAAACTTTTCCGCCTCTCTATGGGTGGGGATGTGAAATTCTCTCAAATCTCCTCTAATCCCTGACAGGTTTTCTGTTTCTTCTGCGTCACAGCCATATTGTCCTCATCCTAAAGCCCCTAACAGAGGAGCTGCAGACTCACTCATGCGTTGAAGGGCCAGTAAACCTCCGAGCGGCTTGATGGGATGTGGTTTGAGGGGAATAAAATGAGGTGATATGACTTGAGAGCACTCAGAGAGCCGGTTACAGTAACGGTGCAGCTGTGGAGGGTGCAGACCGACAGAGTTATAATCCTGACTTTGCAGAATGCCTTTGTCTGCAGGTCAATGTCATAGAGATGATGATAATGATGGAGGTTAGGCAGATTTAGCCTTTTCTTACTCGTAAACAGATGCAGCCAAGCTAAGTGGAATGCAGTAACTCCCGGTCAAATGATATTGTAACACAAGTCCTCATTTCCCATCATGCTGTGGTAGGGCTGAATGTCTAAGGCCATACATTCAGGATCTTTTTGGAGATATTCAGAGCTAATGCAGGTGTTGCAGCCATTAGTGACATCACTTATCATGAAAACTCAGATAAATACAGATAAACTGTTTGAAGTGGAATATCAGACGTTTACAATTCATCTTAGTCTAACATGCACAACCAATTTGTCACCCAAAATACACATAGTAAGAGACCGAGTTAGTTGAAGAGCAAACTGTTCATGTCTGTGAAAAGCAGGGTGTGATTAGTCTGCTTTCTCATTTCCATTCATAAGCTTTCCCAGTGACTTGGGCAACATCAGTTCCATATTTGATGTTTACATTTTTTTGCTGCTGTTTACCATTAACAGTTTTATATCCAAACCTTGTTTGATTTTGGTTTGGAGACACTATAGATTTTAGACACACATTTACATGATGACTAACTTGACAATCTGCTAGGACGTAAACACTGTTCTGCAATTTCACTCATGCACTTTATGCATTGGCTAACTATGCGTGCACACTGATTAAACTGGAGGTTTACTTTCTGCTGCTATGAACTGCTATGCAACAGAAACAGTGCAAATACTCTAGGGATTTTTAGTTTCATAATAGCAAAAACAAAAAAAAATACAGCTTTATGTCTGTAACAAAATACTTACATGACTATTTTTTTTTTCATTTGATTAATGATTTTGTTCGTTAGTTTGGTCTTTAACATAATAGGAAAAAAAGCATTTGTTCATCCTCATGTAACCCTCAGCCTCCTTCCTCCATATATACTGTTGACATTACACACACACACACATATACACAGACTTGTTCCTGGTGGGCACCCTCTGACCCCAGTGCAGAGACAGTGCCAAGTGTGTGTGTATGTGTGTGTGTGCGTGCGCATGACTGACTCGTCTGTCCCTGCTGCCGTCTGGCACCCTTGCTAATGACCTGACCGCTGCTGTTGCCAAGAGACAGACTCCTGAGTGTGTATCTGCGTGTAGATGCTGGTACGCAAACAACCTATTTCTGTCCTTCGATCTATACATTTGAACTTTGACCTTCCACATTCCTGCTGTCAATCAAACATCCTCCACAGAGGTGCTTTGTCAGAGCCGGGGGTCTCATTGTGAATTCTTACCACGGGTTGAACACTGACTCACTCTTTGCGGGGGTGGATCATTTACATGGGAAGTCCAGGGTCCTCCCCCAGAAATGAAGCCAGTTTTAAAAAACAGTTCGACATCGTGTGGTTCAGTCTGCAGCAGTGTAAAATAAATAATTCACACAAGTCAAAAGGAGAAGCAAAAAGCCACCTGACCTGTGGGGGAGAGGAGAGAGAGATCCAAACTCACTGCATGCATAATATCAGATAGTGGAAATATTAAGAGTTCACTTCAGTTTATAACAGTTTACTGTTTGAATTTTCTGCAAACTGTTTTATGTGATACTTTTAAAGGGCAAGTTCACCATTTTAGACCAAAGACTTACTTTACATGAAGGTGTTTATCTGACAGGGGGTCAATTGAGAGAGACAATCCAGGTGACATTCTGATCATCAGAGTTTTCATACTTTGAATACTCCATATTTGGTCATATTTTTATTTATATTTGTATCTCTCAAGCCCTCAAACTTAGCAAATCTTAACTACTTAACCACTTGGGTAATTTTGTTTAATGTTTTACTCTAAATTTAAAGAGTAATCACTATTGACAGGAAAAGTCGGAAATCAAACTTGAGTCACAGAAACTGTGTTTAATATACAAACACTAAAGCGAGGGGACACATCTCCTTCTCTCTCCCTGCTTCACAGTGTCTCTTTTGTAATTTGATGTTTTTTTTTGAAGTCATTTAAGATGAACGGTGGTTTGTGAACACACCTGCAAATCTATGATAATAAAAAGTGAACACTTCAACTTTTTCTAACGTCATCTCATCGTTTTTTTCCCTGCCTGACATCCCTGCAGGAATGCAGCACTGCAGCCACAAAAAGTATCTGCACTAGGGCCCGACCGATTTATCGGCAAGCCGATTAAATCGGCCAATTATAGCCCATTTGAGACTAATCGGCCAAAACTCGCAGATTTTCGCCAATATTTTCAGAAATAAAATACGGAGAATAAGATTCAGTTTCACTTCAGAAATGTTCCGCCATTTGAAAAGTTCCCTGACTCATCCTGTAGATGGAATAGCGACCTCATAACAATCTTGATCCACTAACTACCTCACAGCACAGCAGCGTGAGGATCTGAAGCAGGCAGCTGCAGGGACGCACGGAGGAGAGTGGTCCGCCTCAATGGTAAATAAACCAGCTTGTGAAATACACAATAACCCAACAAGCTTCAGTTCAACCCACTTCACGATGTGCCCCGCTGTGCTGGTCTCGGTCACGCTGAGTAAACAGTGAAGCACCATGTAATATGCAAGCTAAAGTTAGAGTTAGCCATCTGCTATTAGCCTTGCTACACTGTTAGCCGTGCCAGTAATGGTAGAATAAACAACAGTACACATTACATGATCGAGCTACTTCTCTTACTGAGGCAGCTGCATGTCTCCAGATAAGACCAGACTGGATATGTGTAACGTGAGTTAAGACGTGGAGGCATCGATTGGTGGCAGCCGATTACAGATTAATCGGTAATCGGATTCTTTCCCCCCCTAATAATCGGTATTGGCATCGGCCCCAAAAAATCCATATCAGTCGGGCCCTAATCTGCACAGAGGTGAGGAGCTTTTAGCAAGATGTTGGCTTTGAGAGCTGGAGCTATTATGTGAAGAATATGCGCTGGATTCTGGTTGATCTCTAGTGAATCATATGCACATCACTCATGGGTCAAAACAATGCAATAAAGGTCTAGTTCAATTAAAGTCAAAACAGCCATCTGGGAGCTTAAAAAAAATTCAGTTTTCCCTGATCACCAAAAGGAGCTTGAATTCCCATCGCTCGATCTAAGTTGCAGTTGTTTGGCTGAGACAGAGTGATCAAACCTGACCTGACATGGTAAGATGGATCACAGACAACTTGAGCAAGATCATACAGTCTGTGTAGATTTGAAGTAACATGTGGATCTTCATAGATATTATGTGTTTAAGATTAAATCTTTTCTGGACTTGGATCATGGGGACTTTCTATGTTGAAGTGGGAGTTGACTGAAGGTAAACTGTATCTAATATTAGATGACTTGTTCCTACCTGCATATGCACACAAAGACATTTACAGGAAGATCATGATGCACTGTTTACTGCACTCTACTGATTTTATGAAAGAGCCGCAAACTAAAGAGTCAGACAGAGCAGAAACAGTGTTGGATGAACTGCCAATAAAAACAAATCAAGAACACGACAAGGAGTCATGCAAACTTAACTTTTTCTTGAGGTACGAAAACACACACATGCACATTCACACACGCGCATACATCTGCCCACTCACGAAAAGCTATACTTTGAGTTTCAAGGGTCTTTTTTGAAACAATAAAGTCAAAAATTAATTTCCACAAACACTATAAGAACCTGGAGAATACTGTAACCGCCCACACACGTGCACGTATACACAACTCAGTAATAACAATAAAACTCCAGTTTCCAAAAAATGACTGTAAAGAGCTGGAGGTGGAATCCCACACAGACACATTTGATATTTAAATGCAAACAGTCAAAGGCTCCTCTCCCACCACATATTGCATTCTGCAGCCCTGTCTCAAACTTTCATAATACCATGATCATATTTCTGAGAGGAAGTGTGAGTGTGTGTGTGTGTTCACATGCAGGGACGAGACACACACATTTCAACTCGATCTGTTATAAAAGAAAACTTCATTTTAACTCTTGCCTTCTGTATTTAGGTTTAACAGAAGTGAAATGTGGTTTTAAAATATTTCAAATGATTACAAATGAATTTTTATCTCCATACTTCTTCAAGAACTTTTTCAGCACCAGAGAAACATGGAAGGAACTTTTCAGTTTCTGTGCTTTTTACAACACTTTACCTCACACATATACATTCTGTGATAAACATACCCCTCGCTATCATTCTAATCAATATAACCCACATTATAAGAACTGCAGCGTTGTGATTGAATCGGTCTCAATCAAGTAAAAAACATCTCTATTTTAAAGCGTGATCGAGGAAGCACAAAAAGCTGCAGTTTCTTTGGTTTTCCACCTTCCACCCCTTTTTTAGGTAGTAAAAATTTAACTATGAAGATAATAAAAAAAACTGTTAATTATATAATTGGCAAAAAAAAAAAATGCTAATTTCTGCATGAAGCTCTCATGGTGGTGCAATTTAAACTGTCAGTTTTCTCATGCTAATTTCAAAACTGAGAAAATGAAATCATAAAATAAACAGATTTCATACCCTTGCACATCTGAAACTTTCATTTGTCCTCACTTTGCTGGAACGGGTTCCACGTTCTGGGGTTTTTGCATCTGCCTGATGAGCTGTGAGTGGGAAATATGGGCAACCATAATGTTTTCTGTAAATCCACAGATCCAGGCATCTTTTCAACATTTCCAGTGTCATATTTTGTATTAATTGCATTTGTGTCTATCTCTTATATCTTTGTGGCATACTGTAGATATCAATACGATGAGCTGGAGGTATTGGTGAAGACTTAGAAAGCGTACCGTGACCTGGTTGAATCAAAACCACTCGGACTCCAGTGTGGATCTTTCTGACTGTAAACAAAGCTGTTCTCCACCTCCCCCAACCTGATTGGTTGTGAGGCAGATGCTACTCCCTTGTGTTGTGAGGCAGGCTCCTCGTCCTTGAATAACATGCACGAGCCCAAACAAAGTTAGTGTGCTACAATATCAGACAGCAGAAACCAACCAGAAAGTACAGAAAATTGTCTGAATCCTACTTTGGCCACGACTGCAGTGGGCTTTCCACGGTTTGAGATTTTGCAGTACGGTGCGGTGACGGTGACAGTACCATACACCTCACTATTCCACAGTGATGGTATATTAAAAAAAAAACTTTACTAGGGGCTATGAAATGACAACCAAAACACACAAGGATCAACCTCAAATGAAAATATTGTTTTATTTAAGCGAAATGTGTGTCTGTCTGTGTGGTGTGTCTCGTCTAACCGGTGAAGGAGGGGGCTGGGGGGGTCGCTTGATTGTTGGACTGAACCATTTATGGGGGGCAGTGCATCATCATCATGGGCATGGCAGCCTGCCCAGAACTAATGGAATATATGATCGTGTTTTTTCCAGCACTACGCAGCATCACACAGGTAGGAAATGGTTCAATATTTTGCTGCTGCTGTCTTACTGTAGCCCAGACTGACCACTAATGTTAATGTGAACGTGAAGTGATATCTTTATTATGGCAAGTCGCGCTTGTGTTGAGGCGTAACGTGCACTTTACACTCCGGCGGCGCTACATAATATTGAAATTACGTCACCGTGAGCTCAGCAATCTCACGGTGTCGCCACCTGACTTCATTTCATCGTGATGACGGTGTATACGGTATACCGTGGAAAGCCTAGACTGCAGACACAAGCAAGAAAACTAAGTAAGAACAGGGACTCTGGCGGAATAACGGGCGCTTTAAAAGGAGGTAGACTGGACAAGAGCTAAGAAGTCGGGTCAACAATGGTGGGGGATGCTTCGGGATCTTACGGACCCTGTAACCTTTCTGCTGGACAGGTAAACCGCTTTAACAAAGTAAGCCAAGTGTTTCTTGTCAAATGGGACCTGCTGCGTGTTGTAGCGCAGCAGGTCCCTGTTTACCTGTTTACCTCAGGTCCTGGACTATGTCACTCTATCCTAGTTGTAGAAGTCCTGCAAAAATTGTGTTTGCTGGTAGTCTGTTGGCATCTACAGTAGCACCAATGCTTTTTACTTTCACGTTAACTGGGCCCCATTTGTCATTATCTGAAGTAT